ATAAAGAGCTTTAGGTCAGAGGGAAGAAAAAGTAGCCATTGGGAGTCAGTCTTCAGACTGACTAATACAGGAATCATGCCAAGTAGTCAAGCATTATGTACAGAGAATCCTTATATGAAGTACATTATATAACAGTGTGTTATAACAATAGCCTATAGAGTCATGACATTTTAAGAAACTTCATCATTGCTCACAGGTTCAATCCATGGTATTCTCAGATACTGAGAATACCATGGATTGAACCTGTGAGCATGACTCTATAGGCTATTGTTATAAGACACTGTTATATAATGTACTTCAGGAGAACCACATTTCTGTTGCTTCAAGTTTTTTCTTCATCTGTAAGGAGAATGTTCAACATTCACTGCTATATAGGAATACTGACATTATCTAACAGTTCAGCACTCTTTGTTTCTAAGGAAATTTCTTTTTGTTTCTTAATACTCTGTATAGTTTCTGAAACATATTTTTCGCTATCCCAATATGCCTTTGGATTTTACTGTCACACTTTCCGTCTTCTGTTAAAACACTTCCCTGATATTTAAATTATTGTACTTGTTTGATTTCGGTATCTCCAATTTCTAACTTGTATGTTTGACTGTTCCAGTCGATAAAATACTAACAATAGATCAATTACGGTGATTTGATTATTCATTGAGTTATGAGGCATACTTGCTAAAATAGGCCCAATCCAACTATTTTATTCAAGTTCTTGTCTACCCCCAGGACCATGAAACCAAGATTAGTAAGGCCAATCTATCTTGCAAGTGATAAACATCCTGGGAGTCCTATGGACACTCAAGGGAACAGTAAGTGTTTAGGCAATTTATATGGGGTGGGTGGCTGAGATAACTTTAACAGGGCAGTAAAACTATTTAACATTTTGAAACCTGATTAGGAAAAGGCTTAAAATTTTATATACACATTTGTTTATTTTTTGCCTATATATTTATATGTATATATGCATGTATTTTAAGATCCTGGCTATGACGATAAACTACTGATAGGGAGATTGGAAGTTTTGAAGAATGTACAACCACCTCTTAATTGCTGTTGTTCCAAGGTCCACTCTGACTTAGGGTAGTAGCACCTGTTAGGGTCCAAGACATGGAACCTCCAAATAAAAGCAAAACACTATGAAAATGTAGGAATACATTTTTATAGTAAAAATACGACAATACATTTTTTGTGGCAGAATGAGCAGCAGTACATATTATTTGTAGTTTAAAGCATAAAATCCTGTTCAAAATATTCAGATTCTGGCATTAAATAACCCATAGAGGTTTATAACCCACTAACCAACATGAAAGAACTCTTTCATGACATTAATCCATATAATATCCTACAATTTTGTAAGTCAAACTATATTTCAAAATACAATTTTAACAAAACTACAACATAAAATACACGTATCACTGCCTCTAGTAATTATGTCTACACAAACACGTATATACACAAAAGCTGAGTATCATCTACCATGTATTCAATTGTGAAAGCAGAATAACCTATATCATATTTTTATTACTTCAAAGCTCCCAAGAAAATTAAATTTTGGCATTAAAAGTATTGATATGCCATAAACAAAAAAACAAAACATGTATTTTAAAACAGATGCAATTGTCACATGTATATAGAGCTAAAATAAACTGCAAGTTAAGGTCTGGTGGCTTCTATATGTTGATCAGATTGTTCTGGGAGTGCTTGTTTATTTATGTAAAACCTTTTCTCCTGGAATATCTCTATCCTGCAACAATTATTGATGACTTGACGTGAATCCAAATAAAAAAAATGAGTAACACAAAACAATATAAAACAAATGACAACTAATTGCATGTATTGACAAAAAGGTACTACAGTTAGAATGAAAGAAGAGAACATTTAAAGACTATTTACACAGAAAAACATTTAAACTAAATGCACATCTTTGTGTGGATGAAATTTATGTACATGATAGATAAGTGTGTGAAAGAATTCAAAAGTTAAAAGAGAGAATGAAAAAACTCATCTGAGCCCAGTGGCTGTGTTTCAACTGTACATCTTAATACCGGAGTTGAAAAGCTGTAAAACAGAGACTAGGGAGATAAATGCACACCTTTATGTAGGCTTAAGGGGATCCCCCAAGTGACAGTTTTTTTTAACAAAGTGAGATAACCCATAAGAAAACCACTGCTTGGATTATCCCACCAAAGCACACGTTTCTTCTATGTGCCATGTCTCGTCTGAACATGGGTGATCAAAGATCTCCACAACTTCCTATCTTTTATAATTCTTAGCTATTTTTCCCTGTTCTGCTATTAGTTTACAAAATTTCATTACATAGGTTACTCACTGTTTCTCTTTGCTCCTTTAGCCTCCAATATGTACTGTGTGTGTGAAATTCTCCAAGCACTCTTTCCTCATTACAAGACACAGGAATTTCAGTATAAGTGTCCTTTTTGTTTTTATTTTCCTGAAAACTTCTACAGCTTCCATGCTCCATCCATCAGTATTCCTGTTTTCCATCTCAAGTGTAGTGATGATGAAAAGAGGTGGGGGGGGGGCTATTCTGATGGCATTGGTATTCTTAGTTGGGATAAAAATGACCTTGAACAAAAAAAAATCAGCATCCTCTATGAAGTGTTCCAAGAAATAAAACACAAGGTAAACCATTCCAAAAGAGAAACAATGATCTGGAATTGGAATGAAAGCAGTGATGGTAACTACCCTAGATCAATTATAAAAATTCAAAAAATTGGAGGATTTAGTAAATAGGAAACATTTCAAATACCACAGTGTACGGATCAGTTAAAACAAATTTAGTATAGGAGATAAGGGAATACAACATGGAATAGTTTGTGCTAGGTATAGTTTTGCCCAATACCACAAGTTGCTACAGAACCAAAACATTAACCTAAAATCTCAAGAAGTTCTAAAATAGCTGTGTATAAATGTCATCCATGGCACCAAACATTCAGAAATGTCTAAACACTGAGCTGGATACAACCGTTTTTCCAGATAAATGATTAAAAATGGCTTTGAGTGGATGAAGCCTGTAGATATTAGCAAGAACCATTCTTCTTTGAACCTTGTGACATAATTGCAAACCAAGAACTGTACCAAATAGCAAAAACATCACTTGGAGACTTTCAACAGAAGCAACAACTAAAATGGATAGGACATGTAACTTGAAGAGAAAATAATGGCATAATCAAGATACTGACACTCCACAAGACTTCAAACAAAAGGTTAGGAAGGAAACCTCCATCAATAATGGAAAGAAAAGGAGCAACACCTGAACTTGAGAAACCCGTTTTTCCAAAAAAATCTTTTAAGAGAAAGATTTTATAAATTTCAACTGACTGTAATGCTAGATACTCTGTCCATTAATAATTGATTAACCAGAAACACTGATCTGGAATTGGAATGAAAGGACTGATGGCACATATACAGAATTCATTGTGGAAATTAATGAGGAATTAATAAAGACGAAACAATTCAATTCAAATACAAATACAGCAGCGTATGGATCAAATTTAGTATAGAAAATAAGATAATAAAGAATAAAAAACAGTGAGTCACCTACTTGAAGAGTTTGTGCAAAACAGAGAGAAACAAGTACTACTAAAAAGAAAAAATTGATTATTAAGGAGATTGTGTTGCTGAGATTAACAAAAGGCAGGAATCTGTGGAGAACAATGATGAATGGATGTGTCACATAAGAGATTAATTTTTTATTAGTGTGTTATATCTTAATTTTACTAGTATTTCTTTCATCATAATTTTACTTGCTTTATTTACACAAGTAGTAATATAATCTAGAATTTTTATTAGATGAAACATTGTCAGCCATTATTAATTTTTGACTAGTATTTCTTTCATCTTAATTTTACTTGCTTTATTTGCACAAGTAATAATATTGAATGATTATCAGACGAAATGTTGTCAACCATTATTCATTACTGACTAATGTTTCTTTCATGTTAATTTGACTTGTTTTATTTCCACTAGTAGTAATATTACCTTGAATTTTTATTAGATGAAACATTGTCAGCCATTATTAATTTTTGTCTAGTATTTCTTTCATCTTAATTTTACTTGCTTTTCATCACACCTACTCAGACTACTGTTATCAGTAAATGGTGTCAGTAATCATTGGCAAAAATTTGAACTCAATAATCCTTTCACCTCAGAGCATTCGTCTATGTACAACAGGTGGACTGTTTGAGGTCTTGGGGTAGGTATTGTAGGAGATAAAATCTAATCATATAAAACTTTCCTACCTACATTCTTTACTTGTGGCTGTAGACTGAGTAGATGTGCTGAAAAGCAACTTGAGATGCATTCCCAAAATGAATAATTCTTACTTGTCTTTTTTGTGCAATGTTGAACAAAAGTTTTATCATAATTAACAAAAACATAAAAATGTTTGTTGTAAACTTTTGACACTGGATTTTTATTTTATCTTTTGTTCTTTTCTTCGAGATGTTATTCTTTTCATTTGATCTCAAAAACAGTTCGACTTCCCTTGGGCATAACGAAACAGTCTCATCAGATAAGCAATCCTTCCCCAAACCCATTTTGATTAGACAATAGGATGAAACAAGTTATCTGCCGTGTCCAACAGGGAATATCAGAAAATCTTAGATGTCTGAAAAAGGGTAAAAAAAAAAAAAAAAAATGGTCTTGCAGTTTCCTGAGGTGGCTAGGGAAATGAATTCTTGTAAATGTCCACCAAAGAATTGGTAAGATAAAAAAAAAAAAACATTGAACTAAAGAATCAAATATTTTCCCCAAAGCAATTGTTTTACAACTTACAGTATGAATATTGTTAAAAAAGATATATAAAGACAAACTACTTTTGTTTGGAAATTTTTTTTCTATCACTTGAAGCTGTAAAAATAATTTTATTTGGAATTTCATCAAAAATTTTATATTTACTTAGTACTTTTCTCTCAATAATTTTGGGATAAACTGTTATAATCTCAAGAGCTGTTCAGATTATCATGGCTTACAGCCACATGACATTGAAATACCAGTTCCCATATGATCACTGAAGTTAGGCAACATTGAACCTGGTCAGTACCTAGATGGGTGACCTCTTAGGAATACGAGGTGCTCTAAGTTTGGATGTGGGGTGCTGTAATGGATAATGACTTGGAATTGTTAAATGAAGAGCAGAGTTTCAATTCCAGTTGGGTTTGTAGTATGCAAATACATTCAAATACCCTTGGGAAAGGTAAAATCCACCTCTTCTGCCCCTACTTATGGGTTAATTAGTAATAATTGCATAAGTTAATCATTCTTTAAAAAATAAAAATATTACAATCTAGAAATATTTATTTTCTTTAAATAACATTGCAAAAGGTTGATAAACTGTAAAAAAAAACAAATCAATCAATCAGATTATTGAAGTCTTTTCTTTGTTCCACTTGTTATCATGCCATTTTAGACAATCCCCATCAACAGTTTTCCTCAGGTGTACAAAAATACCATGATCATTTCAAGAGCTCTTTAGCTGATCTGACCTTTGCCAGGAGGTTTTTTAGTTCTTCCACTAATCAATTTGTTGTCCTTCTTTTATATGAAAGCAATTCTGGTCTGGCATATCAACTTCAGTCATTTTCTCATTGATATGATGTGGCTTCCCTCATCTTTTCTACAAATATATTCATAGCAGCTGTTCTGATGAAATTTTTTCCTTAGTACCTTGACTACATGATTTGAGCATACTGCTAGATTGGCAACTAGGTCCCACCATTTTATTGTTGAACTAGCTAAATGCATCTACCACTTCTAACAATTTCTTTTCTCAGTATCTGTCTATATTTCTGAGATGAGTTATTATGTACACTATTTACATTGTTCAGACTATCATCCTCATCTTTGCTGCCATATTTATCACAACATTTCAGCTGTTGTACACTCCGGCCTTCTTCAGGTGGTTGGAATGAAGAACTGAACCCTTTATTTCATTCGCTGGGGTAGACTGTTCTAGTTCCATGTGCCATGTCTAATGGTTATCAGTTATCGCCTGTTAATTCCCCTCTCCATAACTGATAACTGACATCCATTAAACATGGCACATGGAACTAGAACAGTCTACCCCAGCGAGTGAAATAAAGAGTTCAGTTCGACATTTCAACCATGTGAAGATGGCCGGAGTTTACAATGAATGAAACATTGTGATAAATATGGCAACAAAGATGAGGATAATAGTCCAAACGATGTAAATAGTGTTTCTTTTCTCACCTGTGGAAATTTCTTGCTTCCCTACAACCTGCAATCTTCAGAAATTTAAATTCAACATCAATTACCATCTTCTGTCTTCCTGAACCCTGTTCCTTTATTGCCATTTCCTCACTTGTTATTACAGTCTTCGCATTTTCTTTCACTTACAGTAGCCCCCTTTTTTCTAATCATTTCACCCTCAGCAAGGCAACTAAGCCCTTAACATGTTTGGGGGTTACTGAGTGTGAAAGAATATAAGAATGGGAATTAAGAAGACAGAAGATAACGAATGACATTTACATTTTTGAAGATCAAAGTTGGCTAGAGAGAGTTCCACGAGCGAGAAGTTTGAGAAAATAAAATCTTAGCAGAGAACTTATGATTATATCTAGCCATTTCAACAGTAAAATGGTGAGACCTTACTATCAATCTAATACTACACTCAAAAAGTCTAGTAGCTATTTGGAGTCAGTCTTCAGACTAACTAATACAGGCATCATGGCAAATATTCAAGCATTACATACAGAGAACCCTTATATGAAGTACGTTATATAAGAGTGTGTTATAACAATAACCATATAATAGTGGCATTATAATAAACTTCATCATTGCTCACATGTCCAATCTATGATATTCTCAGCATCCTTCTGGAGAACCACATTTCTGTTGCTTCAAGTTTTTTCTTCAGCTCCCCTTAAAATCTACTTAAAAAAGGACTAGAGTGGAATTAGAATGACAACTGTCAAAAGTCGTTTGACAAAATAAAAAATCAGATGCTTGTGAGTACATTATTGGAGTAGTGATTTTATACAACTCTGATGGCGGTAAAATGAAAGCCTTTGCTCATGCTTCTAAAATCAGAGAAAAATTAGCGCCATACAGAAAAAGAGGCTGTAGCAATCAAATTTTCTATGAAGAAATTTCATAAATTTATTCATGGAAGAATTTTTAGGTTGTAAACAGACCACAGACCTCTATTAACAATACATGTTTCAAAGAAAGGAATACCTACACATACAGCTAATAGACTGGGGTACCATCTTATTAAACTATGATCTTACGATGGAGCACCAACCGTCTAAAAAATTAGGACATGCAGATGGACTATCTAGATTAAGACCTAAAACTGTGGAACCATTGGAGCACACAGTCAAAGTTAATGTCTCAGTACCATAGGGATAGGGGAAAGTAATATGCATTTTGTTTTAATACAAAAATATGGCACAAGACCAAAAGGGGGTACAGGGGAAGGCTGGTCTTCAGTCTGTTTTATCTTAACCACAATTACTGACCCAAACATACCACAGTATTCCTTAATAAAACAACACATTCTTACTTACTATTCTTACAACAGCCACCATAATACCTCAAAGTCTCTATGTGGTCCTAACTGGTTCCCATACATACAATTTTCCTGCGCAGGGTGGAGAATATAAAAACAACAACATTCAAAAAAGTAAGCCCAATGAATATTTACAATGAATGTACCATAGAAGAAAATTCATCAGAACAATTACCATGAAAGTATTTATAGAAAAGGCACAGGGAAGCTACATTACAGTGAGTGAAGCTGAAATGCCAGGTTAGAGCCAATAAAATTGCAGATTTTCTTTACATTTTGAATTTGTAAATATGTAGGATAGATTCAATCAAAAAAAATAAAAATTGTGTAGCATGAGACAGAAACACAACTTTCCTAGCAGCAGACCTATCAATTGATTCAATATAGTCTTTTTACTTCATGTGAGTAAAAAACTTTGTCCCCAAGAAGGCACAAGATACTATCCTTGTGATTAGCATTAGTAATGGTTAAAAGAGAGAAGTTTAATTTTTGAGACATTAAAATTAACAAGCTATTTCTTGCCCAAGTTAACAACAGATTGTAGTTCATTTTTTAGATCAGCTGCCTATCTGACCACATCAAACTATCAAACTTACTATTAAGACAAAAGTAACCACATATACATAAGCACATACATACACTTATACCATTTGTATGACCTTCTTCAGTGACAGACTCTAATTTCTTGTTCCATTAAAATATCTATTTCACTGCACATCATCTTCAGAGACAGACATCTTGTATCATTTGTTAAAAATAGTTATTTCAACTTTTATTTCAACCACAACTTTCATCTTCTGGTTTTTATTTCTAGACATTGTTTGGATTTGATTTCAACCTTTTGTTTTCCCTCAATTATAAGAAGGCTGTATTCTTGTTGGTGGAAGGCAATTTATCTGGAGTCAGAATGAAGTGATTGTCAACTTTGCAAGAAGTTTCTTATCCACTTCTTTAGTAAAATTATTATATACTAGAATTTTTTGCAACACACCAACACGTATTGAAATCCTCACTGTATTTAGTAATGTTGAAGTTATCGCTAACATTTTTTTTTTTTGTTGTGATTTATAAACCAAACGTTTTGTTCAATTTTACAAACTAATCAATAAAATTTGAATAAGATGATTTGTTTGGAAAAATACTTTGGCAAAAACCTTACTTTGCAGTTTTTATGCATTGTAGTAAAACCAACTGTACTATATAACCCCTTATCTGTTTGCACCTCAGCCCCCCCCCCAAAGGAGAGATATTACCTATTGCCCCTAAAATGAGCTTTTATTAGCTTAAAAGCCTTTCAAGCTAACTCCTGTAGAGGGCTAATTGAGCACAAAATCAAAGGGACCTTTGGTCCAACTTAGAAAACAGCAATTATAATTTAGAATAACTAACTTAGTTCATTCCATGGAATTTCCAAACTTCATTTTAACACTGATTCTGGCTGTAAAGCCAATTCCAGCCAAAAGTCCAAAATGGGCTGAAATTCCAATTCAGGTTGAAAATTGAGTTCTTCAAATCACAAAATCTGTGGAACTTCAATTTAGTTGCAGTCACCAAATCACAAACAATGTGAAATTTCAAAATCTCACATTACAGCAGCTTTCACTTTATCTCTGATTTTTTGGCATTTTGAAGAAATAAAATTGATTTCCTCAATTTACAAAGACTTGAAGATATTTTAGATGTGAATTTAAAACAAACATTTTTAAATTCACAAAGTTTTTGTGTTACTTTAAATTCAAAAACCCAATATAAATTAAAAACTTTTAAAATCACTAATTTTTTCAGTTATTTTATATTTCACTCCTCATCCGGACACTAATGCTGGATGGTCAAATACCAGATGAATTGACAAACTTTCAATTGCAGAATCATCCTGTGTCCAAAAAGGCATAATTTGTCTGTATGTAGATCAAGTGTGGCCAGAGTGAGAGGAGTTTCAGACACATGGATAGACAGATAGAATTTGCCATTTATTTATTTAGAAGATTGAGATAAATATTTTATAAAATTATGGAATATTAATTTCTGTTTGGATTTCTAGGATGAAAAGTTATTATTTAGATTCAGATCATTATCTTCATCTTTGTTGTTATCAAAACAATTTGGCCATCTCACTCTCCAGCCTTCAGGGTGGAAAATAGGTGGGTTGTTGATATTAAACATTCTTTTTTCTTTTGTTTTCACTTATTATGCTGGAATTAAGGAATTGGTCAACAATGTCATTAAACTGTTAAGGCCAACTAAAAGTTAGTATTTAACTGAATTCCAAATATAGAAGGTTGTTTTTAGCTCTTTAGAAATACTGATGTTTTAGAGTAAGGAAAAATTTTTATTTAGTTATTTGAACAACAGAAGCATATGGTGAGACTTTCACCTCAGAACAAAATAAATTATTTCTATGTAGAATAAAACAATATTATCCAGTTGTGAAGCAGCTAAAAGGTTAAAAATACACAAAACAAACAGTAGAACTTGCCTGCAAATTGGTATACACTCTGTTATTCTCACTGTAGTTGCTTCTATTCTCTCTTTTAAGTCTTCCATCAT